CACCAGAAGGTATGTTCAAATATTCTCATTGCAACATTGTTTGTAATATTAAAAAAGAGGAAAACTGGTAATTAAAAGTCCATCAATATGGGAATAAGAATTAAATCACCATCATATAAATATACAGCATTACATAACAATTAAGGAAATTAACTAGATCTGTAAGAATCAACACTGACAAATTTCAGAAACAGTGAAGTGGATAAAACAGATCTGCAGAAGGATACCTACAGTATGATACCATTTGTGTAAAGTTTTAAAACAGAACAATAGTATACGTAGTACGTAGGCGTACACAAATATGTAGTAAGCTTACAAAAACCTGAATGAAAAGAATACATTCCAACTTCAGGATATTGATTATGTTACCTCTAGGAAGGGACGGAGGAAAACTGGCTGCAGCAAGAGGTGCAAAGGGGCCTTAACTACATCTGTAACATTTTATTTCTTAAAAACAAAAATTTGCAGGAAACATGTAAAATGAGGATTTATTAAATCAGGGTGGGGGGAGATCACAGTATTTAGGTTTTCTTTTTCTGTAAGTTTGAAGTACTTTAGAGTTAAAAAAGTCTGTATTCCAGGGAAATTTACCACCAACTGCAGCATAACTGAGTAAGGAAACCAGAAAATGATCACGAATGTTCAGATGAACTGTGATTGAAAAGTACCCAGATCTCTTTGCCTCAATGCTATCAATAATTTGAGTGAGGTAATGAGGTGAGGTGAGTATAGAGAAGAAAAATGGGAATTATACAATACAGACTAACCCCAAACTGACACTATTCAGGTAAAGCAAACTGGCTGATTTTATTGCCCAGGCATTCGGCTTTACTCTTGTACCTCCAATTTCTTCCTTCTATATACCTAAAAACACCTCATGAAAACTTCACTACTGAATAAGAAGAAGAAGGTAGAGAGAATAAGCAGCAAATATAGTTTTTCATATCAAAGATAAGATGTTTCAAATATTAAAAGTGTAAGTGATGGGAAATATAATTTTTGGCTGCTCTTTAAAAACAAGTTACTTTGGCATATTACATCATTCTCCCAAGATTCCTTGAGAAAAGTCACACTTATTTCCCAGCAACATATTTTCTCTCAAGTCACGGCTCTGTTGAGCAACACAAAATATTGCGTTATACACCAAAACCTTTCATGTTTACTATGTTTTTGCTCTCATATTACCACAGTATTAAACATGAGATACCACAAATACAAGACTACAGCAAAAAAATAAACATGGAAAGGGGAGAAGCGAAAGAAGTGCCACACTTCAAATAGGCAGGTAGAAATAAAACACCTAATTTCCAGTTTAGAAGAACAAATTAAATATCACCATGATGGGGAAAAATTCAGACAATAACACAACATGGGATATTCTGTATCCGAGCCTGGTCTCCAAAAGGTAGCGTGCATAAAAAAACTTTTATAGGAATGAATGTTCATAGTAGTTTTATCCATGACAACCACAACTTGGTAACAACCCAAATAATCAACAATAAAGAGAATGGGTAAACATGTTGTGGTACATGATAGAACATGATACAAATCACATGATAGAATGCTACCCCACAATATAAAGGAACTACCAATAGGCACAGCACATGAATGAGTCTCAAAAATACGATGAACAGAAGAAGCCCACACAAAATATTACACACTATATAGCTCATTTAATATGATGTTCAAGTACTGGCAAACTAATCTTCCCTGATAGAAATCAGAAGAGGAGTTCGCTCTGCGTGGGGCTTAAAAGGGGGAACAAGGGAATTTACTGTGGCGATGGAAGTGTTCTAAATCTTGACCCAAATAATGGTTGTATGAGTGTATGAATTTATCTAAATCCACAGTGGGGGGAAAACATTGTGGGAATGAAACAGTAGAACTGCTCTATGTTAAAATGGACTAAAACAACCTAACGACCAAATGCAACATGTAAGCTTTGAACGGATCCTGGTTTGAAAAAGTTAACTATACAAGCCATTTTTGTTGACAACTAGGAAAACTTGAAAATGGACTAGATACTAAGAAATTATGGATAATCATCTTAGGTGTGATAATAGTATTGTGGTTATTTAGAACAATGTCCTTATTTTTAGAAGACATATGCTGAAGTATTTAGGAGTCTCATGGCAACAATTTACTTTCATATTTTTAGTAAAAAATATTTATTATTATACATATACAAATATACAGATATATCAAATTAATGTACATAGGTCATGGAATATATTCATTGTACTATTCTCCCAACTACTCTGTATGTTTGAAAAATGTCCATAAAAAGTTGAGGGAAAAGAAGATGCCCACTTACCTAGAGTGATCTTCAGGATACATTAAGGAAAGAAAACAAGCAAAGTGCAGACTCGCTTATATAATATGCTACCTATTGTGAAGGAAAGTAAAAAAAAATATATGGGAAGGGGTGAGTGTACAGTGTGTGTGTGTGTGTGTGTGTGTGTGTGTATCTATTTGATTATATTACAAAGGGAAATACTAGAAGAATAAATCAGACACCAATAAAAATGGTTACCTACAGCAGATGAAAATAGATGGAAAACAGGTTTGAAAAGGGCTGGAAATGAGACTTCTCAGAGTGTATCATGTTATACAGTTTTGACTTTTTATACCCCATAAATGTAAAGATTAAATGAAATTGAAAAAACTGAAATTGAAAAGATGTTAAAAATATCTATGCTCACATTAATTCCTCCATTCAATCAAAGCCAAATCAATCAAGCTTGTTTAATGTGTGAGGTTATTAATGGTCTTTTTTGCTCCTTCTGAGCATCAGTCATTTAATGGGGTTTTTGCTGGTCAGAAAACTTAGCGTCTTGCTGCAGATCTGCCCCTAAATAGTTGCGCAAACCTAGAAAAACATTTAGTCAAGCTAAGCCTCAATTTTCTCACCCATAAAAAGAAATTCAATCCAATGAAAGCTAAGATTTCTTAGAACTGTAAAATTCTGTGACTCAAATGTCTGTTGAAAAAAATAAAATAGGAATGTTTCCACCTGCATAATTTCTTAGGCCACGATGAACAACAAAGCTCCATTATACAGCCATTCACTTTCCGCCTGACAACTTATACTAGGGAGAAAGGGTAGTGAAATAACTTTTCTCTCTCTGACCCCTTCAGGCAGTAGTCAGTTACCACCAAGTGCTTGCTCTAAGCAGGTCTGGATTGGCCAAGGAAGGAAAGCAACATCCGGTCCGGTCAGGCAGCTGCTCTCACCAGGCTGCTAAACCGCATTGGTTAGCAGAAGAGGAAGCAGCAGCCAGTAACAAAATCTAAAGAGGCTGAACTCAGGAGTTTTACTAACTGCCCCGGGCGCAGCAGTTCAGGAAACTTCGTGTATTCTTTTGCCAAATGAATCCTCCTTTACAAAAAGGCTGCCAAGCTTTGGCAGCTGTGGGATGAAAAAAACATCTGAAGCCAAAACTAATAGAGTTTCTGACACTGCAGTGAGTAAAATCTCTGCAGCCTTAAAGATACGGCGACAGTGCCAGAAACTTTCTTCTCCACGCCTGCCTCACAGTCTACCCTACCCGGCCTTCCTTTCTTTAAGACCTAGCCAAAGACCTAAAACAGTCCTGTGACTTCCCTGGAGGTTTCAGGGACTGTGCTACAGCGGCCTCATTGTAATGTTTGGAAAGACTGCAAGGAAAGCAGAGGATGCTTTCTCGTGGGGGGATGGAGAGCCTTGACTGCAGGGCGTGCAGCAAGGAAGTGGGGAGGGCTACTCCGTGCAGCACCCAGAGGAATGGTGTTGGCTATTTAAGCGCGCGCGCGCGCACACACACACACACACACACACACACACACACACACACACACACACACACACACAGCTTTGCTGGGAGATGAAAGAGATGAGAAATAAAAGGACTTAGAGAAGTGGAAAAAGAAAAAAAGGACTGAAGGGGGAATTTTGTTTTCAAACTGCCCGCAGGTCTAAAATGGAGGTATGGAAAGACTTTGGGGGGGATTTCCTCTAGAAGAGAGAGGCTGGAGATTTCATCTGAAGAGAATGAGAGGGTCCTGTAAAGAATGAGGGGGAAGGAGATCAAAACCCCTTGGAAGGGTCTTGTGAGATTATTCAGAGGGATGGCGTTTGCTCATGGCATGGAGAGGTCCAAGGCCCTTCACTTGAGGAAGGGCAGGGTGTTCTCTGCCTCAGCTGGATTTCCACAGCAAGCTGGGGGGACACTATCCTCTTCAGCATGTCTGGAGAGTGACTGGGTGGGGCTGAAGGTCCTCTGGAGCAAGTTTAGAGAATTAGTAGTGTCCCTCTAAAAGCTGGTGCCTTTCTTGGAGTGAAGGGAAGGATAGAGGTTCCTTCTCAACATCGGGAGAGTTTGGGGGCTGGAGGGGCCTGAAGTGGTTTCCGAGGTATTGGCCCTGGGGTAGATGGCAAGGTGCTGTGTGCAATGCTGACATATTTCGGTTGCGGGTTGTGGGGACTCTACTTTGAGAGGAAAGGCCCCTTCACTAATCAGAAGCTTGTTAATCTGTCTGAAGGAATCCGCCAGCCGTGATCTGGGAGGAAAAGCACCCCTCCCCGCCCCCGAAGGCTGGGGAGAAGTCGGGCCAGTAATACTCTCACTAAAGGAACTGGAGCAGAGAAGAGGAATTTTAAAAGAAGCCTCTTCCCCCACCCAATTCACTGTTAGGAGAGAGGAGGACTTTCTAAAGTGGTTTGGAAAGGATTTGAAGGAACCCGAACTGGAAGCTGGGAGGAAGCTAGGGGAGCTGAGGTGGAGGCGTTCGGGGGGGAGCGTCAGGCCTCTGTGTGGCTGGAGTGGGAGGGCGTTCGTGATTTTGAGGTTGGGGAAGAGCCAAATGACACGGGATCAAAGCTCCATAGGGATGATTCGGAGGGTGGAGGAGGTTTCGCGGTGACCCGGGATTCTCGGAAGTGAACGGAGGCGGCGTCCCTAGTAAATTCCGGGGGCTGACGACACCCAGGCGGCGGCGATGGGGGCGCGGCCGGTACTCACAGAGCGTATCTCCAGCGCCAGGGCGCACTGCAGCGCCTTCACCTTCGGCATCCGCGCAGGGTTGGGGCGGCGGGGAGGGACCCCGGCCGCAGACCCGAGGGAGGTGAGGAGACGCGGAGCGGGGCGGGGACGGGGAGGAGACGAGGTGGCGTCGGCGGTAGCAGCTGTGCCCCCAGGCCGGGGCCCGCGGTCCAGCCTGGGTCACGCGCGAGCGGCAGCAGTGCGCGGGGCGCGGATTCGTTGTCATGGCAGCCGGGAGGGGCGGGGCCGGAAGAGACGCTAGCGGGGACGCGCCGGAGCCGCCGCTCGAGGGCGAGCGGCTGGGGGTGGGACTCAGCGAACGCCGGGAGGGGCGAGGCCGCTCGAGGAGGCGGGGCTTCCGAAGGGGCGGGGGGAGGGGCGGGGCGAGGCGGGGTGGGCGGGGCAGTTCGTCTGTGACGTCAAACTATGGGCCCAAAGCCAGAAGAAGAAGAGAATAGCTATATAATAGGACAGTGCGCAAGTCAGGGTGTTGGACCCAGGAGCCCTGAGTTCCAGCGTGGCAGTGGCAACTTGAGCTAGTGGCGTCCCACCGCGGCCTCAATTCCCCAACTGTAAAGAATTATAACGATTATTCGTTCTCTTATTTGAATTTCCTTACGGTGTTCAAAGCCAGCATGAGAAAACAGGATTGGAGAAGAGACGTGCTCAATTCAAAGGCAGAACCAGGACTGGACCTCAGGAGCTCTCAAGTAAAACTCAGGTTGCCTCCCTGAGAAGAGGGGCCTCAATCAAATCACTTTCCTCTTCCAAGTCTCCTATTCTGCGATTCTTTGTTAGTGCGTCGCCCCCCTCCCTTCAAGTTTTCCCGTCTAATCACCTGTGTATGCATCTCAGTGTATATTGTTTTAAGTTGAACTGTCAATGAGGGGCCAAAAATAGGTCCAGTTGCAAAGTGGCTGGGCCATAGACCATCGATGATTAAGGAAATCTAAGAGATTGCCCAAGCCAATCGTTTTAAAAATCATTTTTAGTGTGAAATACATTACACATACAGAAGTATATAAAACAATTTCATCTTAAACAATAATAACAATAAAGCAAATACCTGTGCAATTAACATCCAGCTTAAGAAATAGAAAGTTACGAGCACCTTAGAAATGTCGCAACCACTGCATTGCCTTCCTTGCCCTGGAAATAACCACTACCCTGACTTTTGTTACAATAATTCCCTTGCTTTTTTACGTACTTTTGCGATTCATGATTGCATCTCTAAATAAGGTATTAACTTTTTCCTGTTATTGATGTGATATAAACATAATTAATACTATATGTATTCTTCTGTGACTTGCTTCTCTCACTCTTCTGCTGTAGGATTCTCCCAACTTTGATGTTGTGTAACAGGAAGTTTTTTCCATTGTTAGACAGTGGAATATGTCCAACATAACATATGAATATACATTGATTTATTTATGCTTTTTACTATTGATGGTTACTTGTATTCTTTCCATTTTTAGCTATTGTCAACAATGTTGTTATGGGCATTCTAGTACATGTCCACTAGTGCATGTATGCCAGAGTAGGAGTGATTGACTGGGTGTTAAGATTTGCACATGTGGGACTTTAATAGGTAATGCCACACCATTTTCCAAAGTAGTTCTACCAATTAATGTTCCTGCGGGGAGTGTGTAAGAGTTCTTATTTTTCCACATCCTCACCAACATTTGGCATTGGTATTAAATGTTGAATTTTTGTGTATTTGGACTTGTGTAGTCTAGGTATCTCATTGTGGTTTTACTTTGCATCTCATTACTTTTGAGGTTGAGCACCTTTTCATGGTTTTATGAGTCTTTCAAATTTCTCTTTGTGAACTGCTTAGTAGTTCTCTTGCCCATTTTTCTACTGGATTCTCTCCATCCCTCTCCCTCTCTCTCTCCTGATGTATATTAGTTCTTCATATATTCTAGATCCTAATTCTTTGTCTATTATATGTTGCATATATCTCCCTAGTTTGTGCTTGGTCTTTTAATTTTCCATATAGTGTGTCACAAACAGAACATAAATTAAGTCTTGGGTTATGAGTATTCTTAGTTTGACCAAATAATTCTAAGTTGCTGTCCTCAATGCCACACCAGTCTACACATCTACAACCAATGCCTGAGTGTAACTATGCCCTCACATTCTTCCCAACCTTGGCATTATCAAGCTTTCTTGTTTCCCCTAGTGTAATAGATGTAAAGTACCAACTCATTGTTGAATTTCGCAGATTACTGATGCATCTGAACATATCTTTACATGTTTATAAGATTTTTGCTTTCTTTATGATCAATCATTTGCTCAGATTCTTTGCCCATTTTTCTACTGGAGTTTTTGTCTTTCTTAGAAGAACTCTTCTGTACTCTAGTTATGTATATCTTGTCAGTTTCAGACATGCAAATATCTTCTCCCTTTTTCATCTGTTTATAAACTTTATCCAGGGTATACTTCAGTTAATAGAAATACCTAAATCAATCAATCATTTTTGCCTTACATTTTGTGTTTGTTTCTGACATTTTAAGACGTCTTCCTTATTCCTAGGTGACAGAAATATGTCCTATATTTTCTTCTATCAACTTCATAGTTTTACTTTTCACATTTTTTTTTTTTTTTTTTTTTTTTTTTTGTCCG